CGTACAAGCCCCATCCGGGGCCCGCGCTGCTGTGCTGTGCCGCCAGGCCGGTCGTCGCTGCTGCCGCTGCCGCAGCGGTGACGGGCGCACCGTGATAGCCAGCGGCCACCGCCACCACCGCAGCCGCCACCGCATCGTCATAACCACCCGACTGGTCCCCGCCGTATCCCCTCCCGTACAAGCCCCGGGAGACTCTTTGTGGGATGATGATGAGAGGAACAGGACAGCAGGAGTTGAACCTGCTTGCTCCAGGCGGAGTACCGCCGAGCGCCCCGATTAGGATTCGTCCCTTTGTATAAATTAATTGGTGGTGCACTCATCCATCTCCGCCGGTCACCCGACAGCCCTGGTTTGCCCCGCACCAACAGCACACCTCCCGGGTTCCCATGACCGGCAGTCTGAAAGCCATCCAGCTGCTATGCGCCCCCCGGTGCCTTGCATCTGAGGGCCGCGTCCAGCCAGGGTGCAGCCCTGGCCATCTGCTCGGCGGCGCAGGCCGCTTCAGTCCATCGGCCGAGCACTCCATGACCGCCAGCCCAGCGCCTATGATCTATCTGCAATGGATCGATCCTAGACAATCCGTTTTGGGGCTCCTGGAGGCCCATAAAGCACGGCCGGGGCATCATGCGCCCCCTTAAGGTCGACAACGCAATGTCTTGCATGTGCTATATTCCACAACAATCCTATGCGTTTCGGTGCTTTTGGACGGGTACAAAGCGAGAAGTCCTGCCATCTTCATCGGCCAGGTCGAAGTCGGAGGTGCCCGCGCGTGAAGCTCTTTGCTAAACGAGTTAAAGCAATAACGTTTCTTTAGCTATGAAGTCGCTGTAGCCCGTTCATTTGGCATTATGTAAATGTGTGACCTCTGTCCGGCAGTCGCAGTTTCCATTTACCAAAGTATGCCCGCTTTGCGCAAAATTTAAGCTGTAAAGAAAAGTAAAAATTAATTCAATTGGTGCTCCTGACCTCGCCGTAGTTCGTTAGCCAACTTCCACTCCGGGGCATAGGCACTCCGGGAGGGGGGGGGGGGAGATTGGTGCAGATTGGTGCTTTGCACACCGCCGGCAGCCTGGAGTATGTGCCACATGTGGGCGTGCTTCGCTATTAAAATTATTTTTGCTGAGTTGTGGGCTGTTAATGATGCGGATGAACGAACGTCTAAGATGGTTGAATCATATCTCCAGAATATTTTTCATTATCGCACCTGGGCGTGTCTTTTGGAAATGCTAAAGCTAGCCATGCAGCCGTACATTTTATTTCAAAAAATACGATAGCCAAGCTGGCTGGGATGGACGCTCAACACAACACAAGACACGGACAGGCCGGGGTTGGTCAGCGGCGGCCTTATGCATAGGCGTCCCTTTGGATGGCTACCTTAATGTTTTGTGCGATGTTTATCCCGAACACTGGCCGCGCTGCAATCCTAATAATCCCCCTCTGGAAGTGTTGGGCCTGGAATTGAATAAATCCCAGAGTGGCCCTCCCCGCTACTGGCTATTGGAAACTTCCATCGGAGATCATCACCACCACGGTCAGCTGTTGTTTGCTGCCTGTGGTAGTGATGTTTGGCCTCGGTGCCTGCTCTATACGTCCATTGGGATAAATCGGCATTTTAGCTTTTGGAAAAAAGGAATAAGTTGAGGCCGGCCTGTACATTTTCATTCCTCCCGTCAAAAACGTCCATTGCTGCCAGATTGCTCCATAGTTTGCAGAACTTAGTATTGCTCGGTCAGCCATGTTGATAAACCTCACTTCGTGTGCGCCAAGAGAGTGCTGCACTTGCACCCTTATTGCCCTGCGTGTAAGGGGTACAAGCTGGAGGAACACGCCGCCCCCCATTTCGCCAGTCACCCAGGCCGCCCGACAGGCTGACCGACCGACAGACCGACAGAGATACGTTTTGTCTGGGTCCATATGTGCAGGGATCATGTCCCATGCCAGGTCCGAGGGAGCCTCGCCCAAACTTTCCGGCCCGAGGAGCTCTCCCCGGACTCAGCACTCCCACATGCCGCACACCATTCAGCTCTCCCCTCCCCTTCATTTCATCTTGACCGCCATCATCATCACCTAGTGCCTTCCACGAGGATCCTGGTCGCCGATGGCAGTAGCAATGAGCTGAAGGCCTCTTGCATCAACCTTGTCCGAGCAACCGCTAACACATGAAATGAGGGCGGAGGGGCGACAGCGCAAAAGGGGAGGGGGGTTGTCCCACCGAGGGGAAACATGGATCATACCTTCGACAGACAGTACGGATGGATACACACAGACGGTTACGGGCTGAGCGAGGTGAACGTGCAGAAGGAAAACGAAGGACTGGACGGGAGGACTAAGAGACGGGGTGGCAGCAGCAGCAGCCGCAGCAGCAGCTGCTATACAGATCTGATCTGCCCATCCACCCACCCACCAGCTGTCCAGCCGCCGGCAGCCTCCACCTCGGGTCCTACTCGATCCGGCAAGCGTCTGTCGTACTTGAAGTTACGACCGCCATCCAGCACAGTGCCGTCGTCCTGGACGAGACGGGGCAGGATGGTGGGCAGACCACCCGACCTGCGAAGCGAGGTTCCCGTCCGAATTCAGTGCTTCCAGCGCCGGTGTGTGGGTGGCGGGTATGGGTTAGGGTTGGGTTAGGGTGGGCGGGTGCCTAGGCAAGAAAAGGACCCCCGCGCGCTTCTCCGCCCGCAGCCAACATCCCACGGGCATGCATACGATTGGAGCCCCCGGGTCCCCCCCCCTGAGGGCCTCTCCTTCCCCACCCTGTGGAGTAGGAGGGCAGCAACAGCCCTGTCGCGTCGTGTCGTGTCATGTCAGTTGCATATCACCCGAACCCCTAACCACCCGCGGGCTCACACCCCAACGGGGAAGAACCCCTGGCGCATGTGAATACGGATACGTGTGGAAAGGGGCGAGGGCTCTTCAGGGGGGTGAGGGCCGACCGCGAGGGGGACCCACATTAGCGGTGCCGCCACCTTGGCCGCCTGTGCCGCCGCCGCCGCCAGAGAGGCCGCAGTGAGCTGAGTCGCCACCGTGTGGGCGTCCATGTTGGCCTGAGGGGGGAGTGGGGGAGTGAGGGAAAGGGGGATGAAGGAGGAGAGTCCGGGGTGTGCGTGTGTGTGTGCCTGAAGGAGGAGGAGGGGTGGTGGTGTGGTTGGGCAACGCGTATTGGCGGTATTCATGCGTGTTGGGGAGGAATGTCGCCTGCGTGGGTGGGCGTGCTGAAGGCACCTCTCACGCCACTATTGAAAGAATGTAGTCATGTGCACACGCATGCACGCATGTATGCATGTATGTATGCGTGCCCCCTCGCAATTCAGGGAAGTCCTGCAATATCAAGCACACAACCGAATGAGAAAACAGTTAAGGCATGCATGCAAAGGACGACTCCCAGATAATGCTCCAATATTCGCGCTTTCCTACACCGTATCATAAGGTGTCGTACCGCACCTGTCGTGCACTCTTGGCATTGATCTGTTCCTGGTTCTGTTGGCGGTACTTTCTTATCTGAGCCTCAGTGCGCTCGATGTCCACATTGTTGCTCAGCCGCCAAACTGGCGCAGTGGGTTCCGGTGACCGGGTGGACGATCTGTGTCTTTTGTGTGTGTGTGATGTGTTTTGTGGGTGTGAGGCGGGAGTTGGCGGCGTGACGGCTGGCAAACAGGGTGGGCCGTAGATGGGCTATGGTTGCGGCACATCAACCTCCTACTCGCCCTCGTTATCGGCTTCTGGAGGGAACACAACGCAGGACAGCTAAACAGGACACAATACAGTAGTCGCGAGGAGAGCAGTTCAGCTCAGGTCAGCTCAGCTCAGGTCAGGGGACGAGATCGGGGCCAGGTCCAGGGCCACACAGCACCTCACACGTACGCACTCTCACGCGACGGGGTATACAAATGTCTGGCACTGCGGCACGGGCCTGGCCAGCACGCGGTGCCAGAAAGAGGAAAGACGGGTGCTGCGTGGTGGACGGACGTGATCAACGCCAGCGGGGGTTGCGGTGGTGGGGTTGTGGTGGGGTCTCTGCTAACGCCTGCTGCTGCTGCTGTGGGCCGCCCTTGTGGCTACGAGCCAACAGCACTGCCGAGTAATTTGGCTAAAGGCAACGCCTAAACGGTAACTGTAACTCGGGGGTGGGGGTGGGATGGGGTGGGGGGTTTGCGCCGGTAGCAGCACCGTAGTGGCCCCTCGTCCAGTCCCCTCCGTCCCCTCGCTCACTGATGTCCTCCACCTCCTCCAGGTAGTCATCGAACTCCTGCTTGCTGGCGAAGTCCTCCCGGTCCTTGTTGTAGCTGGTGGGGGGGAAATGGGGGGAGAGGGGAAATGGAAGGGGGAGCGAAATGATATGCAAGGTTAAGGAGATTGGAGAGGGAGGAAGGCGTAGGAAAGCAGGGCTTCTTTATTTATTTTTAACAGTCTGATTTTGGGTTAGGTGGCGGGGCGGGGGGGGGCCGGGGCGCAGGAAGCTTGGAAGGTTCTGTTGGGGGCACCTGTAGTGTAGATACAGAGCATGCCAACTTTGCTGACCGGTCCTGTACTTTTAAGGCAGCATCTACACTTTCAGCGTGTGGGCTCCTGCCCCTTAGCCCCTTTCCTCACTCCTGTTCCCCCAAACGAAGTGTATATTACCCACATGGCTAGTATGCGCCGCCGGACTTTGAGCTCCTTATCCAAGTCCACATCCATCGTGGGCCCTAAGAGGTATGGACTGGTACGTGGGGCGAAATCATCCGCAGGGCATGGCTAACTCCACGCAGTTTATTGCGTTGCCTTCGCTTACGAGGCATAGGCCGGTATGTTCGGCAGGAGGACGTGCGAATGACTATTTTGGGCAACGGAAATGGGAATTGAAGGACGCTCAGATGTTTATCAATACCGAATAACATGCCATGCTTGTCTAAATCTCTGTTGAGCACACTTGCAAACATTGGCCCTCTCCTGCAAACTAGTACAATGAGCCGTACGGGAAATATAGACCGCTCTGAAGGTAAACACTTGGGCCGATGCCAGCACTGGCGACACCTGTAGCTGCCTATTCTTTTCCTTAGGAGCGGATCCGGGCCCAGCATCGCTCTCGAACCTTATTTTTGTGCGTGTGAAAAGAGCAGCTCGGTAAAATGGCCCTGTCCTCGGCAGTCAGCATGATTAGGTCTACCGTTTTGAAGCACCTGCGCGTGACAGTGACCTGCAATGCCCATCAATCCGCCCTGCCAACCTTCACGAACATAATCAGCCGGGGCTTCGGCGGGGGCTTCCTCGACAAGGACGGCGTAACGGAGCGTGTGCTGCATGTTACCAAGCACTTTGAGAAGATTGACGCCTCTAAGGTGGGAGTTTGCCTGCTGTAGTTGTGACACGGACATTTTGCTCTTTTGTCGGCTGAATGACCATCCCTGGCCATCGCAACGAGTCCTGATGAATACTGTCTGTATTACTGAAGGTGACGCCCTCGGCGCACTTTGAGAAGGACCTTGGGCTGGACAGCTTGGACGTCGTGGAGCTTGTTATGGCGTTGGAAGAGGAATCAGCCTGGAAATCCTGATGCAGAGGCGGATAAGATAGCTTCCGTTGCGGATGCCGTCAACTATATCTGCAGCAACCCCATGGCGAAATAAGCTGGCAGAAGACTACCGGAACGGCCATCCCGGTGGCTATCTGAAGCGTATCAGGGGTTTTGCTATAGGATGTAGTTTGTAGCTTATTTTTCTATAGCTGGGGTCTTACACGCCTAAGGATGGACTTTATGGCCTCTGTCAGGTTGGCGTGGGCGGATTGAGTTGCCACACATACACGCACGGCGACGACTGCTCGTGGTGGAAGCTGTGGTTTAATCAGTGTGCATGCTAGATGTTCATCTGTATGTACAGTCGTTGTTGTGTCGCAGCAGATGTGCTGTGCACATATCATGTCTCCCGCTTTGCAGGCTGGGAGCAGCGTTTTATGTTTCGTAATAATTCTGATGATGGTGTTATTGACATATTGGTGGATGCATGGCACGCTTGGGTCTTTCTGCTGCATGTAAACGGCCGGGAGTGCACGACACCATGGGTCATGACCTGTGCATAGATACATCGCACTGTGAGCATGAAATGTCCACAGGTCTTTTTGATTATGCATGACTCACGTTTACATCTTTGGCGTAAGTTTGGACCAATATGGTAGCTTGAAGCCAATTAGCTTGCTTTGGGCACAGCTAGCGCAACAGCTAGCGCAGTCTGCAACAACGGACTAGTAATAACCACGTGAATGGATAAGGCATTGGGCAATCCAAACTTTGATGCAAACTGCATCAACTGTTGGTCAGTGCCAAGGTGTTGCTCGACAAGTCTCTTGTACTCTTTCGCCCAGCGCAGCGATACCACAGTCCTGGACGAGCCCTTGTATGCGAACTATTTGAGGCTCACTGGCGTGCCGCGACCCTACAGGGACCAGGTGAGCGCTTGACCGTAGAGTAATATCGCCGTCGTGCACATATTCCTCATACTCCTGACCCACGAGCTGTTAATTGTGGGAGTGGGGCTTCTGAGGGCTCAGGGGGGCAGCAAACTTGCCAAAATTGATGGTACCGACCACCAACTCCCTACCCCCAAGACACAAGCACACAGCCACTCACCCGGACACAGCCAATGGGGATGTGCTGCGGCGGCGGTGTCAGAAAGGGCTCCAGCGGCTAAGGTTAAATTAAATACAACACGCAAAGCCCACTGTTAACAACCACACGCAACACGCTAAGTGGTCCCCTCCAGTGTGAAACGCTGCGCAGTAAAGTGCAGTACAGTGCAGCGGTCCGTACGTACCGCCGCTTCCACACCGAAACCCCCCAGCCAGGTCACAACAAGAATGACAGGGGACGAGGAAAGCATTGAGCCAAAGGTTCGAAACGGCTACAACGAGCAGGGCAATAGTGCCCCAAATTTGATTTTTTAGCTAAACCGCCACACGAACAGAATTACGGCTTGGTGGTCCCTTCCGAGATTGCAACGTGACTTACATACATGCATACATATCCGGGTGCAAATATAATATTGTTGTATATATTCATATGTACGCCACAAGTACACACATCACACCGCACGGTACGCCGTGACAGGACATAACCGCTCAAACCCATTATTAAGGGCATTCCACCCCACCCACCCCATCTGATAAATTGTCAGCTCAACAACTCTAAACCTGTCTGCCTTCCTTCATGGCTGGCTGGCTGGCTGGCTGCACGCAACACCGTGGCCATGGCCGCAGGTGTTGGCGGCGCAGAACTCCGACGGCAATGCGGTGGTCTCGGAGCAACTTCTGGCGTCGCGAGGGAGCGGGTCAGGCGGTCGGCCCGTGTTGTACGCCAAGCACATGAGCAAGCACAAGATTGGACTGGGGTCGGAGCTGTTCCGGCGGTCCCAACATCTGGTGCGGAGTTGGGGTTGGAGTTGGAGTTGAGGTCGGGGGGCCGTACACGGTGGGACTTGAAGGGAGAGAACGGGTGACGAGGGTGGAGGGGAAGAAAGAGATTCCAGTTGTGGTGTTTGGGGTTTCGGGGGCCCCACTGGGAGGGGGAGGAAGGGACAAGGGTTAATAGGTCGGCGGATTAGAGTTCACTTCCCGGCAGACCACGCTCTGTCTTCACCCTGGCATCCTCAAAGCCCTCCTTGACCACCAGATGCAGGGGTTAGCTCCCTGGGCTGCGCCGTACCCACAGTCCGCTGCGAAAATGACCGCAGATCCTTATACGGGAGCCGTACGGTGTACTGCAATCGTTCTCCACCGTTTTGGAGCCCACTCAGCAGGAGCTGGGTTACACTGTGAGTGGGGTTTTTGGGGTTTTGGGGGGAAAGGGGGAAAAAGAGACAGAGGATAGGGGACGAGGTGAGATGTCCTGCAGCTGTCAGCTCTTTCCGGCAGATGTCGTACTGGTATATCACATGTCGCGAATGTTTGGGGACGTGCCGTACATCTGGCGGCGTTCGAACACATGTAATAATCGTTCTGCGCTAACCCTAGTACTAACCCTAGCCCCTGTTGGCGTTACAGCGCTCTCTCCGCGCAAGGACGGTCTTCACCCACTAGCCCCCCCTCCACCGCCCCATCCGTTTTAGACCCACGGGGCGAAGGAAGGCGCAAATAGGCCACCGGGTTTGTGACAATGTGCCTTTCCCCGCACGGTCGTCCCCCTCCGCCAACCTCTCTCTTGACTCCTCCCCCTTAACACCCCCCGGCTCCGCTTTCTCTTCGCCGTCTTTTGTTCCCCGCCGCCGCGTCCACTACAATACGTCCACAATGTAAGGCACTTTTGGAGATCGTCAGCGAGCTGCGAGTGTTGGGGTGAGGCATGGAAAGGATGGCTTGGGGCGTGTGCGTGTCCGGGGTGGGGGGTAGGGGGGTTGTTAGCGGAGAAGGGTTTGGGGACCGTGGAGGCTGCTGCGGGCTTGTTTGGCTGCTATCCCGCTGGTCGCACGCAACCCCCCACCCCCAACCCCACCCCCAACCCTCCCATTTCCCCCCAAGCCCCCCACACACCCCTTCACACTCCTCCTTGTGTTCACGGCTTATTGAGTGTTGCCACCCACCCGCCCAATACGTATAGGGCCCGCGTTGTGGTTCTGACGATAAACTTTAATGTCCGGTTCCAGGTCGTACACAGGTACATTCATGCATGATGATATGTAACAAACACATGCATACATACATACATACATACATACATACATACATACATACATACATACATACATACATACATACATACATACATACATACATACATACATACATACATACATACACGTGGTGGCCCGCTTTTAAACGCCGGCTGAGCATCCTGGCCCTTCAGTTCAACAAGGCGGCACAACACCGCAAACTCAGACCAGGGGCCCGGGCTCGGGAGGCGTTACCGCAGGTCCAGTTGGCGAGACAAGCGGTGGATGCAGCCCCCACAGCGCAACAGCCACTTCAACAACTGGTCGAAGCCCAGGCAACACTCGCACGAGCACACCGTGAGGACTGCTGGAGTGGTGCAAAGGAACGCACGCGCAAACCCTCCACCGTATGTTTTCCCTTCCGTACTTATGACACATGGGAATTGGGCCCCTAAACCCCCCATCCCTGCACGACCCTCGCAGGCGGCGCGCCATTATTGTCAACTCGGACGAGCTAATACGGCAACCCGCTGCCGTACTGCGAGCGGTGTGCGCTGCGCTGGGGTTGCCCTGGGAAGAAGTCATGCTCAGCTGGCCCGCAGGACCCAAGCCGTACGACGGACTGTGGGCGGATTGGTGGTATAAAAACACACACAAGAGCACGGGTACGGCAGTACGGCAACTGAAGTACGACGTTTTTTCAACCACATGGGTTTAGGATTGCATCATGAACGTATGTTTACATGTGCTGCCAGCGTCCGGAAACCTGGATGGAATGTGCACCACCACTGCGATCCAGCTCCGCGGCTCTGCGGCTCCTGAACGGGGTCGTTAAAGCAGGTGCGACTTGGTGCGCACAGAGACAGTTCCCTCCGTCAGTCCTTATTCATGTTGTAAGTACGATTATCCGTACTTCTCTACATCAGTGCCGTACAGACTAGCACCGTACAGACCAGGAGAAATCCATTAGATATGTGTCCTGAACATTCGATAGCCCCCGCGCAACGTATTTGAAATGGTCTAAGTTACCCCGACGTATAGCGGTGAGAGAAAGAAGTATGTAGTGGTGAAGGAAAGAAAGCAGGGGGTGGGTCCCCCCCCCTCCTGCGCGTTCCCCCGGCCACCAACCACCCCTGGCTGGCGCACTACTGGATACCAGGACGCACCACGACGCCACTCGAGGCCTTCTCATCCCATGTGCACGTGTTTTAACCCCCCGCGGCTGCCCTTCCCATTTTCCCCCCACCTCCTTTCCTGCTAACCCCCCAACACCCCTGCTCTCTTCACATCCGCCGCAGCAGTCTTCCCTCGGCAGCAGCTTCACTCGCTCGTGTGGGGTTCGTCTTTCCCCCCCATCCCCAACACCCTTTAAGGTTTCGATGTGGAAGTTCGTGAGCCGCGCAAACCCCTGCCGCCCCACCTCAAGCCCCTGCTGGCCGAGACATACCCCCTGTACGACATGCTGTCGCGTGAAGCCATAAGGCCCTTCACGGACGCTGTAGACGCCGTACCGCGCCTGCTGGGTCGCCATCACAACGGCACTCCGGAGGCTACTGCTGCCGCTGCCGTGGCACCCTCGAGCGAGGCCGCCTCGTCATCAGCTACTGCGCCCCAGCTCCCCCTCCAGCCCCGCCACGGCAGCACCCACGCGTATGCTCCGGACCCCCGCAATGAGGACGTGCTGGTCGGGATCCGCGACGGAGTCACCGGCCGATTTGAACTGGTCAGTGCGTCTATATGTGCGTGCATGTATATGTATGTATGTCTGTACGTGCATATGTATGTCGTGAGGGGGAAAGAGGGGGTTAGTTGTAAACCGTGGGGGCCGGGAAGGGTGCGTGGCTTCCTGAGCGGGAAGGGGGGAGATGAGTATTGATATTGGTGGTGTGTATGAGCCGTGTGTGTACGGTTGTACGGCTGGTATCCGTGCGGNGTAGGGGTAGGGTGAGGCC